CACGTTTGACCGTTCGTTTATTAAACGTCTACACGGTTCAATATTTGTCCAAAGATAATAATAGAAATGTCACCGAATAGATAACAAAGTCGGCCGTTACAATAACAGAATAACGGTTAACGGAAGTCTAGAAAGAAAAACGTTTATATTGGAAAACGAATATCTCTAACCTAGCCCACAGTAGCTACACTAAACAAACCGTCTGGAAAAAAAAACTAGAAAGCAAGAATTGAGGTTATAACATCACAGATTACATAAAAGCAAATAGTGCACTCTAACAGAAATACCAAAGAATGTAAACACACTTAATAATCTCAGGTCAGTGTGACAAAAATTTGAGAAAAAAAAATTAGTTAAGGTTATCACCATTAACCATCGTTAATCAATCAAGGTTAATAGATAACATTATCTATTATTATTATCTATGAACCTTGTTAATCAACTACTTGTTATCAGTGTACAATATTTTCGGCACTATAATTTGGCCCTACTGCATTGAGTTGAAATCAATCAAAAACCGTTATTTGAAAATATATTGTCTTACTACGAAGTGCTCTATCTGGTTTTATTTAATCTGTGATGATAATGTATTGTAACGAAACTAGATATTTAAATAAACCTTTAACCACAAAAGTAATACTAGAAAATCCGGTTTTTGTCAGCTGTGGTGTTCACTTGGGTATAGCGAAGTTAACAGCTATATCGAGGCCAGTGATTGTGTAGTACAGCGCTGACGTTGAACAAGACTGACTATGGTTTAGATTAGAGTTTGAAATGTGTGTATGAAAGGAAGTTTGGACAAGGGGAAAAAATAGATAACGAAATGATGACGGATAGGAAAAACGGATGGCCCACCTTCGTAGGATAAGACAAAGGAGGAAATTAGATCATTGATAATATTTAACGTTAAAAGTAATAATATAGGCAATTTTGGTATACAGCGAGCCAAAGCTTAATGCTGATGGCTTAATGTCAGTATTGCACATATTAAGAAAGTTCACTGTATCCTAGTTTGCATAAAACCACAATAACGTTCATACTGTAGCATTCTTGCCAATGTCATTGTTCTTAATCACTTCTCAAAATAAATATTGTTCTCTTATCTTTTTCCTTCCGCGTTCATTAACATTGACGCTCTTTTGTCATTTCACGTTCTCTCATATCTTCATTTGCCATTTTGAACTCCTGCGGTTCTTCTCCGAGAAGTTAATTTTGTACACATGAATTTGTATGGTCGGAGATAAGAAAACAGAAACCATAAAATGAAAATGTCATACAGATCCTCCCCTTAAATGCTAAGGCTATTTAGGTAGCAGAGTTCTGCTAGAGTTTGACGATTTCCAAAAGGGCGCAAACTGAACTGACTTTTGCAGTTCATTCGCTTGTAAAGGCGGTTGCTGCGCATCACAATTTCTTCTTGGCTTATAGTCCAGACACGCGCCACCCTAAGTCTAACGGAAGCGCTAAATTGTCTTTTGAAATTTCATATGCCTCGAGAAGGAACCTAAGCCGAAATGGTCTTACGGCCTTTGACAAAGACATATCTGGTCATTGGCTCTGTCCGATTTGTAACAATGCGTTTCGCACGTGACCGACATCAGAACACAGTTTAAGCCAGTTGCTTTTAATACTCGCAGACACCCGAAAATGAATACCATCTAACGTCCAACGGTTTCTCGATTCAAACGTTGATTTCAAAAAGATTCTGTAGGCTGGAAATCGAAGGGTAAAATGTGGTAATGGCAGCACATGCAGATGACATAAGAGTTATTGATATAATAGAAAACCAGTTAAAGAGTTAACACAATGTTTAATGAGTGTGCCTTAGTAGAGGTTCTTCACATGTGTGTAGAGCAGGTCGAACAAGATCAAGAAGACACCAAAAACAATGGTGGAGTAGTCCCAAGGAATAAGGGATTGGCAAACATCAACTATTGATAGAGATGCTTGGTGAGGTGTCGATAGAAGGTCCTACAAAGGCTGGGGAATAGGTCAGGAAAGAAATACTGGACTCGGATATAAAGAGAAAACAAAATAACGTAGAAATAATATTGTATTATCTTCGGTTGTTGTTAAATCGTTTGGTCATTTGAACAACAAACTTTGGCCTTTCAAAGGTCTGCGCCAATGGTTAAACGTTTAGTATTCATCTACCGTTTTTGGGGAATCTCTAATTTTACCTTTTAGCCCGGCAAGATTGTACCGCTTGAAACCAAATCACCCAATTGTCACCGGGGTTTGCCATAGGGAACAAGTGAATTGCACTGATTTTGTTGTCGGTTTAGATGTCCAAGTACAAACTTTAAAGGGTACCGCACACACATAATGTACATCCGTTAAATCGGTTTGCCTCATTCTGCAGGTATTATAGTAGAAAAATATACTTATACAAAATTTTTCCAGAAATATCATGTGTAATAAGAGTTTGATGTCTTGTATCCTATCCATGGTTATGGTTATCATTTACTCCAAGTAAATTGGAAACCTTAACTGCATGTCACACTGCTGGAGAAACGAAATAAAAACATTCCGTCATCAATCATCGAAACGCAATTCATTTTGCCAACACAACCACTTTGGCGTTATGTTGGTACACGTGCATCAAATTGGCTATGACTATCCGACGGAGCGAGGAGCAACTAGATTGAGTGGGTAACTTTGATGACCGCCATTAAACATAGGGAATCTATTATTTTATATTAAATGTTATATTTTAGCTTAGTTCACCTTCAATTTTAGTTATGTATGTTAATTATGTGTTCACTCAATTTGTTTACCAATATTATGCCATATGAAATAAATAATGAAAATATTCCAATCGGCTGGAGTTGTCTTGTAATTAACTAGACTTTGTCATAAACGAAACGGTTGGAAATTATAAAATATATCTCTTTTTCCCAAAATAACAGATTCTTTTTTGAAATTCATCATCACCACTCAAATAATCCGTTTATTGAGTACACTTATAATATATTTTATTCTGTTTTCATATTCAACACCGAATGGGAGAATGTTTGGTTATACTGAACCAAAGTAATTATAACATAAGTTACCTTTTCTGACTACAAACAAAAATCTTTTCAGTTAAGGCTTACTTTTTCCGACGATTTTCAATACATCCCCTTCGCTGCTTGAAAGTTTGTACACAAAAGAATATTTAGTTGTTTTTTTAATGTAATCATTTTTCTTTGGCGGTCCAATAAGCTTGTTTTCTTTGTAGTACATCTTTTTTTATTTTTGTTAACTTTACGCATTGTTGATTTCCCACTTACCCGACGAAACAGATTAGGAATTTTTCATTATTTTCATGTTTTTCTCAACCTAAAGAAACTTATTTTTCATAATCTATTTTCTGGTACAGATGACTTTATAATCGATTTACACAGAATTTATAGCTAATGGCTACATTTCCAATTATTTAAACAAAGTTATATCTGATAATGTATTTTTTAAAGCTATGTTAAAATGTACGCTATATTTTTATCAAAACCAAAACAGTGTACTTTGTGAACAACAACCTTGTAATTACTTTTAGGTCTTAAATTATTTTTGGTAATACTTGGATTCTAAGAAATACCATTTAATACATTCGCTGTAAAAATAAACATTGAAAAATTCGAAACGGATGAGCTGTATTTTATAACTAGCATAATAAACAAAGTAAAAAAACCAAGAAAAACTTGAAAACAAAAGTAACTGTCTATTGCAACACATAATAACTTTATCGTTTGTTTGTTGTTTTTTTATTGTTATTACAAACGATCAACATTCGGTTTGATTTATTACACGATACAGATATGTGTACTTATTATGCTGCAGAGATAATGAGATTCAGATAACTATTGTATGAAGACCGCAAGCCACCGTTATATAAAAGGGGATTTATGCGAAAACGGAGACAGTATAAATTCCGACCAACTCGCCTGCACTAATCGAGATGAATCGCACATTGTGTCTTGTAAACGGAATTCCAATGAAAAATTACACACAATCTCCGTACCCAATCGCGGTAGTCATAATATAATGCGTGTGAAAAATACACTTAATGTGCAAAGTTTAAAGGGGCGGCTCGCCTATTTGAATAATGATTTCCAAACGGACGGGCAAATGAATAAATGTATAATGAATACCAATCAGTCTAATTGTTATGATACTCCAGTGAGCTCGTCTCAAGTATATTTATTCTATAATATGTAAGTGTAATGTGTGCCATGTTGATAATGAAATATATAAGATTCGAAATAGTCAAAGCTCGGTTTGAACGCCAATATTGTATTCATTGACAATTACTATACCGTGTAGGCTATTCAAAACTAGTTTATGGGCCACCGAAATAGTTTCAATATTTAAGTGACGGTATATAAGTATTTCGGTAAACTAATTATTAAAAAAAAAACAAACAAATTTACGTTTGTTTTGTTTTCTTATTTTGCGACAACAAGAAAAAATATTTTATCCCGTTGGATTTATTCGCTGTCTCGAGAGATAAACAACTTTGGTCGACTTGCGAAAAATTCGTTTATCTTAAAAGCAATAGGCCAATAAAAGAAAGTACTTCGAACTAAATTATCTTTTTCACCTATTGTTTGTTTTTTTCTACTTAATCCGATTTATATATCCTTTGTTAGGATTATTTCCATTTAATTATAATATCCAATGCAATGTTAATCATATTAATTATTGTAGTGCCAGCGAAATAATATAAAGAAATGAACTAGCATACATTTACCAGTATGGCCGCACAAGAAAAAAAAATTCTTCATTATTAAGCGATTGGTACTCTATATGAAAAAATAAGTTTTTCACCCTTATACTTAAATAATAACTGTTTTTTTTTCAAGATACTGTTATCGTTGATATCTTATCACCACAATATAATGTATTGAACGGATTTTTTTTTCTTCTACTTAGGCAGACTGACCAACAATATTGTTTGCAGATTTCACTGTACAGATTTCTCATTAATAATAATAAAAAAAACTAGTTTGGCATACACTTACCGATAAACGCAGCCGTGTCAAGCCATCTGGTAACGGCTGTGATTCATATCACTATGGATAAAAAAAAAATTAAAAAATTGTATTATTACACAACAATATTAACCATTTTTTGTGAAACTCAGATCGATAGAAATTTTAAATAAATAAAATTATTATTATTCTAGTGGAAACGTGTTGTTTAAATAATTCAATTGCAAAAATCATACATGCGTCGTAGCGCTTACAAATCTGCTCGGTTTATATTGGTTTGCACTGAACTTTTTTTTTTTTCTATATATATCTATTTCGTTTACAAACATTACAGGGGTCGAGGGTGAGGTGTTAAAACGGCCTAAGTTGTTTTAATTTTGGCCACAGGGTATGTCTTTCTCCGGACAGGCGTCTGTCCGGTAAAAGAAATAGCCACCACCACCACCTCTCCGTCGGGTTCCAAACTTATTTAGTCGGCGTCAGGTTGGCAGCTAGCAGTAATCCCCGGGTGTCTAATCAAAAACCCTGTACAATACTCTCCGGGTAAGGATTTACCGACGTTACACGAGAACGAGAAAAAAAAACACCGTTTCGTCCACAATGGTCTGTATTCTTACTGTAGCTAAACCAGAGAGAAACCATAAGCGAGATAAAACAACTGTGACGTTCACAGCGAAATAACCCCCTCCGAAATTAAATAAATATAACAGCTGCTGCGGTGAATGGCAGTCAAGATGTACACTTTTTTTTTTGTGATACTTAAAAACAAAAAAGATTGTAACTCGCTGAATGGTCATCACAGGATTCGGCAGTATAGTAGGCATTGACACTAACTATAGACTACTAGACAACATCTATTTGAAATTCATGTTGCAGTCTGAAAAATAACTAACTTTCATTAATAAAATATATGTGATTACGTCTTATATACGATTACCGTTCCGCTGTCGTGAACATACTGACTGACTCGCTTGTCTCCTACCACTATTTATGCATTTATCCATTATATTCTTGAAAGCAACGTGTAACGTGTTTTCTCGACCAGGGGGTATCGCGCGTATACTGCCGTGTCATAACACGTCGTCATATTATGTTGTGCTTTTTTTTTAGCATTAAGCTTAATCTTTTCTGTTCAAAATTTTTGTTGGTATTTTTTAATTTCTATCGCTTATTTGTCAGAAGATATGACAGGGTGTGACACCCCTGGTCGAGAACACACGGTACACGGTGCTTTCAAGGACGCGGTACGCATAAATAATGATAAGGAACAAGCGAGCCAGTCAGTATGGTCACGGCAGCCGAACGGTGACCATCGCTCCGAAGATGGACATAAAGTTATGGTAAGTCATTTTGAGTCAGACATGGCTTATATTTTCATCATGTTCTGTACGTAAGTAAAAATAAAGTAGGTAAAATTATAAATAATTTATTACATTATATTGGATTAAATAATTTTGGCAAATTTTTCCTATGGCCTTTTTGTCGATTGGATTTAAAACCGAAGCAAAAGTCTAGCGAGACGGACCGAGGTCAACCGGGTGCAAGCTATCATAATATTATAATACATGTTAAAATATTAAATATATTCAAAACAATGGCCGGCATTAAAGTACAGCGATATTTCATGACATTGTAAAGCATTTAATGCGGGCCGACCCTATTGTCCATTCGACTATCACGTTGGCTATTCGTGATTAGTTTATCCTTTATCTTTAATTGTTGAAGAGAGACACAGCTGGCTTAGTTGTTCATATTTGATCCGAAGTTATTCGATCAAAACTTGCATTGTTTCTACTAATTTAGATAGTTAATTATTGTGTGACGAGAAACGACATCAGGTAATAAAGTAATTCAAAAGGGTTATACGATTAGCTGTAGTTCGTGGTTAGGTTTAATACAAATGGGGTAAAGTTGTTAATTTCCAAGCCCTTTCGACAATCAACGTTTGCCACCGCAATGAATTTCTCCTGATTGGTCTTGGCACTCGATTGATTTTCGATTTGCTAATAAAGTTTTTTACCGGCAGAGGTTTCTCACAATAATTGTTATCGATGACTCGTCGAAAACTTGTCGAAACCAATGTGGGAGTTTTTGATGTATCATCATTTCGCGCTTAGGATCTCTTATTTTTCTTACACGACTAAAAAAATAAACGTTTCACAGCAATTGAAAACTCCAAATAGACATCATTGACGTTACTCGTTTATCTCCATGTAGTGTTGCACATTTAAACGCAATAACTCCAAAGCAATTATTATTCGTGTCGATTATCGTGATAAAACCTACACCACAAGGCAGCACGATAGCAGCAACGACACTCAGAGTGGTGTTGTATAATTCACAACGACAAGCCGGTGCGGATATGACTTAAGAACTTGGAAATAATTCACGGGAGGCTGCGAGACGGATGTCAAAAAAAAAAAAAGGTCCCAAAGACAGAGATAGTGCATTATGTGCCATTCGGGTTTGATATTTATACAAAATTTCCGCAACTCTACGGCGGTAAAAGATAAAGTTTTTCGAGTCGGCCACCGAAATTAGCTTAAGTACTGCGCTGGAATATTCAAACGCTGTGAAAAAAAATATAGATACATGTTTTTATTTTGCAGACCCCGTAACCGTTGTCGAGCCAATCGCCTCGCATTGTGGCTGATGAACGACGGGAGTGGAAAGGTCTAAGGGTGCGGGCGATCCAGACTGGAGATAGAATAGGAAAGAGATAAATCGAAGGTCCCGACCGAGACTGTGTGGCCTGTCCTTTGTGCCTTCTGCCAAACGTGATGAAATGTCTGAGCGTTTTCCAAGAGCGTACCCTCCAAACCGATGAATTGCGTTTTTCGTCGAGCTTGTTGTGTGTGTACGTCTCTGTGTGTATATATAAATGGAGGGTTGAGTTCGAACAGTGGAACGGGGAAAGGGGCGCACACGCGTGCTGTACACTATCAATCGTGGACGAATCCCGGGTATCTTCTGGTCACGAGGGATAGTCGGACCGCCAAAACTTTAACTTTTGCCGACTCAAAGTCATCACGACGTGGCCCGCCAACAATAGTGCGCTATATATTATCAACCGAGTTATTATCTACACACGTTGCAACATCGCACGAACCCAACCATAAAAGGGTTACCGTTGTTGTTGTATGCAAATTGGCAGACCGATGCGAGGGGTGGCGTCAGGGTAATGAAAACCCGGGGAGGGGCGAGACGAGGGTCTGTAATTTTTCAGTAGGGTCGGCTCGAAGCACCGAAATATATCTGAGCGTAAAACTCTGTAGGTTCTAATTTACAATGGTTTGTTTAATTTAACGAAACAAATAAAGAAAAACACCGTTGAAAATAATATTGCGTTGTAAAAACTATATTGAACAGTAATTTTTCTTTTAAAAATAACATTATATATTACTAATATACATTATATAGTATTATTATATGTATAACTGTACATATCGTGCATTAACGCCCTACACTAGTTTACAAATAGCTGCAACTTTTCAGTGTTTCTTTTTGGAAAATTTGTTTTATGTGTGTTATACCACAACAAAAGACAATATTCCATTTTTTTATCTCTTTTAACACCTGCTAGAGCTTTATCAAACCTTTGAAACTTAAATATTAACATGTATGTTTGTTAGAATTTATAAACTGAAAACATTCTACTGAAAATGTTGACTAATCGATAGCCACTTTTGAATAATTATTTTTAAAGTTATTTAAGTTTAAATTTAAAGATAGAAAGGTGAAGTGCGGTTGGGCAACTCTTGCGGGTAAACATATTTAAAACCTTTAATAACTTAAAAGCTATTTATCCAAAACTCGGTATTGAACAGTCGAAATTTTCCACAAATTATTCTTAGTTTAAAAAGCTATTAAAATGTATAAACTAGCATTTAAGATTCAAAAGTTGATTGAGTCCAGGAAAATGTATTTTATTAACTTTTTATATTAAGAATAATTTGTTGAAGATGTCCACTGTTCAATAGCCAGTTTTGGATAATAAATTGCTTTAGAAGAAGAATACATCAATAAATAAATATACGTTATCATTTAGGTTTTAGAAGTCGATAAAGATCTTATAAAATATTAACAAAAAAAAAGATACAAATTTTTAGTATTTTCTAAAGTTGTAACAAAAAGAAGAAAAAAAATCTGCAAAATTAGATTAATTTTTTTCAGAGAAAATCAGTGTTTAACGTTAAATTCAATACACTTTTTTTTTAAGAAAACAATAAAATTAATATGTAAGTCTCTATATGGCTAACGAAGAAGTTTGACTAAGGTTTGTCGGTGTAGTGTAAAAAAAAATAAAAATGTAAACAGTTGAGAAAAGTCGCCAATTGAAGACCGTCATCGCTATTTCCGACCCGAACCATTTAAATGGTTTTTTTTTTTTTCAACTTTATTTCTTTCTTATCTTCAACACTAGTGTTAGTCTGGATTCTTGTCCCTCCGGATAATACACATGAAAACGACCTCGATTAAAAAAGAAGCCCGTTTAAGGTATAATTCAGCTGATCTCATTGCTATATATTTATTACAGCCATTATCGTCTGGGCCTTTTGAGCAGATAGGCGTTTTTTTTTTTTTACACCGTTTACTTGTTGCGGGAAACACTGTATATTGTAGCCGGTTTCAATCGAACCGTAATTAATAACATGACCCGAACCTTTTTGTTGGTGCCGGGTAATTAATAACGTTTACTTTTAGTTAAAACACCGCAAGCCTTTTTTTTTTTTTGTGCCGGCCACCACTCGACCGGATAACTTGTGCACGCGATATTAAATTTAAAAAAAGTATATAATATTATATCCTTTATTAACATTTCTATATACATGTACTAAACTGGCCCCCCAAAAATAAAAAAATTTAACTTTGTATTTTTACATTATATTATTATGTAGAAATTATGGTCTTGAATTGTTGTCGAAAAATATATATATTATAATATACCTATTCTTATAGTGATAAAAATCGTTTTGGAGAATGCTACATGGCTTATTCAATAAATTATACTTAACAAGAAGACCAATTCCAAATATAGATAGTTAATGTATTCCTGAAGACAATGAACTGAACTGCGTTAT